CGAAATTCTTTTTGTAGAAAAAAATACCAGCCGCTCTATGAAAAAATCAATAATTTCACTGATTCCCAAACAAGGAAATCTTACTAAATTCAAAAATTGGAGGCCCATATCTTTAATCGGCGCTGATTACAAAATAATCACAAAAACGCTGGCCCTAAGACTTGCAAAAGTGATGGGGAAAATTATAGAACCAAATCAGACTTGCGGAATTCCAGGTAGAAACATTTTTTCAAATTTACATCTAGTACGCGATCTTATAGATTACGCTGAATTTAAAAAACCACCTAGTTTCATTTTGACCATAGATCAAGAAAAGGCGTTTAACAAAGTCGATCGTGCGTTTCTGCTGCAAATTCTCCAAAAATTTAATCTCGGAGAAAATTTTGTATCATTTATTAACACCTTGTATTCAGATGTTTCGGCAACTGTTCTGAATTGCGGCTTCCTGTCAACCTCCTTCCTTACAGAAAAGGGTGTTAGACAAAGCGACCCTCTCTCTCTTTTGTTGTACGTTTTTGTCGCCGAAGCTCTGGCTTTGGTCATAAGAGCGGACAGCAGAATAAAGGTTTTTCCTATACCGGGAGCACAAAAACCTCTAAAACTACAGCAGTACGCAGACGATTTGAACTTTTTTGCCAAGGACGTAAAATGTGTCCGCTATTTCTTTGAAAGCGTAAAATCTTCGAAAAAGCAAGTAGTTCAGTGATTAACGCCTCAAAATCCAAGGGTCTCGCTCTAGGGGGTTTTGATCCCGAAATTTACAGGGAATTGGATAACATAGAGTGGAACGACGACACCGGTTTCAAAATTTTAGGTGTTACCTTTTATACCAGATTGAGCAATACTACCAATTTCAACTGGCAAGTAGCTCTTAAGAAAATAGAGAAAAAGCTCAAGTTTCTGGCACTGCGTACTTTGTCACTTAGAGGAAAAGCTAATTTGATAAATACGCAAGCAATGTCAAAAATGTGGTTTCTAGCAAACGTGTTGCCCACTCCTGGTTGGGTAATAGAGCGATTGCATAGAGCCATTTTCGAAAATCTGTGGCAAAAGACCAATTTTAACCCGGTCAAACGCGAGACACTTTTCCTACCCGTTAAAAGCAGGGGTCTCGGATTATTATCACCGAAGGAGCAAAGTCTTGCGCTCCGCCTCAAATCGCTCTTTCAAATAAAAGAGTGTGCTGATGGCAAAACTCACGATTCTTACTACTTTTCAAAGTATTGGTTGGCAAGTTCACTTGTAAAATTTACTAAACAAAACCAAAGCTGGAACTTTTTAGGACGAAACACTTTTCCAAAACACTGGGACAAGAAAATGTCTCAGTACTACAAAACCACAATTGAAATTTTAGGCAAAAACAGGTCCCTGTTTAACATCCCCCTAAAAACAACAAAAAATATTTATTTAGAAGTGGCAAAAAACAAAAAGACAGTCGTGCCAGCTGAACTATTCTGGAACAGTTTAACGAAAACAACAATGCCGTGGACCCAGATTTGAAAAAAAAACTTTACCTCCCACGCATACGGACCAACACAAAACATCCTCTTTCGATTTCTTCACACCAGCTTACCTTCCGCTGCCTTGCTTGCCAAAAGCACAAGGCAACAGATCGTTAAAAACAACAAACTTGCGGAAAAATTGAGGACAATCTGCACATTTTTGCCTACTGTCCTCCCTCTGTTACAATATGGGAATACTTTAAACATGTATATAACTCCTTGACATCCCAAAACAACTTTTTGCCAATAAATTCGATATTTTCGATTGAAACTGCGAATTTATCTGAGAAAAACCCTACCTCGCAGCTGCTTTTGACAATCAATCAAACCATCATGAGTGAAATATGGAACAGCAGATCCCACCATTTGTTTAACAATTCTAAAATTGACCCAATGGCAGTGATCAGGATAATTATCAGAAATATCAGAAATATTATTACTTTAAAATATAATTACCATTTTCTGTCAAACTTTTTGTATCAATAACGTTTTTTGTCAAATAGAAAATGAGAACCTGAAACTAAACATATGAGCTGAACAAGTACATTGGCTCATAACAAGAACTAAATGTTTAGTTAAATGTTTCCTGTTTTCTACAAATATAAGTTCTATAATTACTACAAAAATATTGTTATTTATGATTAGACAAACACTGCTGGCCCTTATATAAAACTTTATTTGCATATTTCTTTGTAACTTTTAGTAACGTGGTGTTTGTGTTAAAGTCCTGTACCTTATTATTATTTTACTTATAAAATTTTTTTCCTTCACTTAAAATAACTAATTAAACTTAATCAATGTCTTCTAAAAACTTTTTCTTATTCTCGATTTCTCTATGCACAAAGGCAATAAATTAAAATAACGAAAAAACACAAAAAAATATAAAATCTAAAAATACAAAAAATTATAAAATCAAATAACACAAAAAAAATAAAAAAATAAAAAAATTTATTAAACAAAAATTTATATATATATATATATAAAGTTGGAAAGTTATTTTAATGGAAAAATATTATAAAATATGTTAAAAAAAAGTTAATGGTAAAGCTTATGTGAAAAACCCTTTTTATTAATATAAAAATTATTATTAATATATATATATATATATATAAATATATATATATATATATATATATATATATATATATATATATATATATATATATATATATATATATATATATATATATATATATATATATATATATATATATATATATATATACATAAAAACAGAAATATTTCTCTAATTGTAAAGAGGACTTTTTTTTTATTTTACAGAAATAGTTTAGAAAAATTGTAAATATTTATTATTTTGAAATAAATTTTATATAAAAAAAAAAAAAAAAAAAAAGAAAGTCGCTGGAAAGGTAGACACATTAGATAAACGTATTGTTGAAATTAGAATTTTTATGAACAATAAACTTGCTGGACCTCTTAAGTATATAAATGATAGAGCAAAGCAAGTAAATGAATGAATTCAAGAAAAATTGATTGTGGAAAATTTGAAAACTTAACGTACCAGAGTGATGGTCGTTGGATTGCCGTATTCAAGTCAGTTAAAGACAAGGAAATCATGTCGAGAAATGAAATTTTACTATCCGAATGTAGGATGCCTAATTTTTTTTGCGAAAAAGAGATGAGTATGGTTTTCCTATCAAGTTTTCTTATGGTTGCTTATGGTTTTCTTATCAGTTTTCAACTAAATGTGATCCAACTATCACCTTACATTGAATGCGTTGTCTTAATTAAACACACAATATACAACTTTGATAATACCATTAAAGACGGCAGAAATTATTTCGAATTAAACTTAAAGTGTTGGTGAAATACAATCCTCAACAAATTAAAATGAATGGGACGAGAATAGTTCTAAATTTTGTAGAAAGGAATTTTTATGTAAGCAGTGTGGAAATTTTCATGTGCCGAGAGAATGATGCGTGTCTCCGAAACCAACTAATGATGAAACACTCATTTTTAGAAAAAAATCAGATGAAACGAAATGGAGTGAAGAAAATGATGAACAAAAAAAAACAACATTTTTTCAATTCACACTACCGTCGCCTGTAACATCAAACGCAATATTCACGCGAGGAGAGGTAAATAATTTTATTTATTCTGAAAACAAAACAAAGTCTTGTGATAGTTTAGCCTTATATTGCCAAAAGAAGTTAGAAGAAAAATTGTAGAGACTCAAAAAGAGTATCAATCAGCTTTCGACGCTGTTAGAAAATCCGAGAGTCAAAAACATCCTGTTGAAAATTTGGTAACTGTGGAGAATCCCTTCATCGAAGACAAGTCTAAAAAACAACAAAACAAAGAAAAAAAGACGAAGAAGAAAGAAGATGGCGAATGCTCCAGTGACAGCGATGTTGAAGACGATTTTGAAGTGAATGTAGCGATAGTTGACAACGTTAACGAACGAAAACGTACGCATCCTCAAACTCCGATGAAAGAAAGACCAATAATTAAAGAAAAGCGAAGCGTAAAACCAAATTAGAAAGGTTAAATAGAGACTTTTGCAATAAAAGAAATTTTTGTTAGTATGATTTTTTTAATTATTTTTCATTTATCTTTATTTTGTTTTACTAATTTTTTACTGAGTTTTTGCTCAAAAGCTTTCTCCTGATCTATAAAATAAGGCATTCTCTTTAAGTTAAAAATTAAGTGTTAATAAAAAATAATTAAAAATAATAATAATAATAAATAATAAAAATTAAAAATGGAGCCTTTGAAGTTTTACACCTCAAACATTAATGGTTTGAATAACGGAAATAAGCTAAAAATATTTGTTAATAATTTTAAAAACAAGCCGTATGATGTTTTTTTTATTCAGGAAGCGCGTTTAAATAATAAAAATATTAATTTGTTAAAAAATGTGTGGGCAGGTGATGTTTTTATTCACCGTCTGACACATCTCATACAAGAGGAACTGCAATTTTATTTAAACATAATTATGAAAAACCACTTTTATTAGGAAATGACTGGAAAGGTCATTATAAATACGTTGCTATAAAAATTAACGGCCTTGTTTATTTAATAATTAATGTTTACGGACCATCTGGTAGCGGGATTTCTCAAAAACTTAGAATAAATTAGGGTTGTTCGCCGAAAAACAAAACTTGCAAAAATTTCGCATCTTTATCTACCGTAATAGCATTGTTATTACGGAAGTTGCACATGCGAAAATGCACATTCCGTAACGCGCTATACGAAAATATAAATAAACAAAATTCCGTAATAAAGCATTGCGAAAGAAAACTTGCGAAACAAATCATTTCGTAAGAATATTTACGAAATAGTTTCTTACGGAAAAAGCATTCCGAAATGTGTAGTTACGAAAAAGACGCAAAAGATTTTATGTTACGATATATTTAAGATATTAACTGTTAACAGTTTAAATAATAAATAATAAAATTATAAAAAAATATTGTCAAATGATTCTTCAAATGTTTATACAAATATACCCAACGGGCATTTGTTGGTTTAAAATTGGTTTAGATCACGTTTAGATGGCATTTACGTCGATCTAAACGTTTAGGAATCTAATCTAAACGTGTTCTGAATATTTAATTTGCGTTGAAAAGCTAAATCAAACAATTTCCGTACGGAACTAACTAAATTAAATTAGTTTCTTACAAAATGTGTCGGACATTTTGAATCTTTCATTATGATTAAAAATTAGAGTTTCTTATTAATCTTAAATTATGTAATAAAGGTTTAGAAAAAATAAAAGAAATTTGTTTTTAGTATTATATTGTGGCTAATGAAGGAGTTAAAAAGTCCTGTAAGTTCTTCGATGATATTGTATGAGCGATTAAAAGTAATTTTAAGTACAGTATCAATATATTTTGATAATTCTTTTTTTTAGTTATAGCTACTAAAATAGCAGTTCAAAAAAGTAGCAGTAGTTTCAGAAAAGTAGCAATTTCAGCATCTTTTTAAACTATTTCTTAAATTGTTTTTTCTGTTTGGTTTTTAACAACGCTAAAATATTACTTAAAATGCATAAATTTTCTCTAAAAGTTTTAGAGGAAAATTATGCATTTTAAGTCGTAGCTACTTTTTAAATAACTAAATAAAATTATTATTTTTTGTTTATTTTAAGACCTAACATCTATTTGTTTATGATAGATGTTATATTGATCGAATAGCAATGTTATATTTATACTCTTAGTGCAGTCAGTGCCAATTAAAAATTGTGAGGTTGAAATATTTATATAATGGATCTTCAGTTTTAGTGAAGGCTTTTAATGTAAACTAAAAAATATTTTTAAAAATTTAAGTAGTATTCATACTCCTATATGATAACCACTAAAGAGAAAATAAATTTACTTATGTCTGATATGATTATTATATTGTATCATTTATTTTCTCTTTAGTAGAAAAGTTAACATATTTTGAACAATAATATATATAGCTATGTTACATAATTTTATGAAATCCGCATAAATATATTTTTTATTGTTAAGTTTTGTGTGTTTAATTTCATTTAATATTTTATATACAGTCCAGTCAGTTGCAACAACAATTAAAGCAGCAGGAAACAGCCAAGTACACATGCAAGTGGTAAGTTTTTGTGACTTTTTTACTCCTTTAAAATTTAGATTTTCCTAAAATAATAAATAAGTTAATGGCTATTTCTGTAAAGATTCTGTAAATAAAAACTGCAGTGATTTTTAAAACTAATAGTTATTCTTTTAGTAATCACAAGATAAAGTGCTAACTCTGTACTTTGATTCTAATAGTTGAACATCTGTCAGATATTTACCTTTTAAATCATAATCTAATTGCTCAAGCTTCTGAAAAGCTATAATAAAAATTCAACGCTTAAAAATTAATGTAAGATTAAAAGTAATTCCTGTTATATTTAAAAGGTACATTGATGATTGGTTCGAGTCTTTAAAGTTTAAATTAGTTAAAAGAGAGTTCAAATTGTTTAGTTTTTATCTTATGCTCTATATCTAAAAGCTATTGAAATATTTATAGCATTATTTTTTTTTAATTTTATTATGTTATGAAAAACCTACCAAGCTTGAAGTTTTAACGGGTTGAAATATATAGTATGTATAAGTATATCATCCCTCGGAATTAGGAAAACTAAAGTCTGCAAAAAAAGCTCAAAAACTAGATGACTAAACTTATTTAAAACGCTTTTAACAAGTTAATGTTATGTGTTGATGTACCTTCAACCAAATTAGTGTTAACATTTTAGCAAAATGTCATATCGCCAGTCTGTTTGAAGAACCAGAAGCTTGATATTTTATTGAATTGTTATTTTAGTTTGTGATATGATAATTTTTATTCACAAAATGTTAAATAATTTACTTTTTAAATTTATTTGTCATTGCTTTAATAGATAGGATAAGATGTTTTGTTATTTCTGTTACAGATTGTTATGAGGATTGCAAAACTTTTAAATATCAAAAACTGAAGAAAGCATTCATAATCAGCAGATATCAAAAAAGCGCAAAAGTACTGATTTTACAACTCTTTTAAAGGTTTCATTTTAATTTGTTAATGTTTATATAGAAACTAATAATATATAAATTGAAAATAATAACATATAATTAATCCATAATTGTGCATAATTCTATACTAAATTATTTTTTTTTTCAATTTCTTCAGAGTTAATATTACTAGTTTAATGCAATTACAGTAGAAATGGTTAATTATGGAAAAACTGCACTAAAAATTGAATAAATCGCTTGTTAAAGCAAATAATATTATATATATATATATATATATATATATATATATATATATATATATATATATATATATATATATATATATATATATATATATATATATATATATTTATATATATATATATATATATATATATTTATATATATATATATATATATATATATATATATATATATATATATATATATATATATATATATATATATATATATATATATATATATATTATAAATTTAAAAATAATAGTTTTATTTAGTTTGTTCTAATTTTTATGTAAAAAAAAAAGAAGCAAGTTTTAGTTAGTAAATGATTAACCATTTTTATGGTTATAGTATTTTTATGGAATAGTAAAAGAGTTTTTATTTTTCAGTTGAGGAAGAATTTTATGTTAATGTTAATGCAAAAGGTACGAATATTGACAGGTTAGCTAATTTGATGTAACAATAAACATGAAATAAAGTTTGTGAAGACCTTAGTGCCAAAAATACTTGCATGCATTATTCATGCATGCTGTATTATAATATAGCATGCATGCATGATGCATTTAAGTATAAAAAAAAGTTACAAATGTTTAATTATACAAAAAGATTATGGATGTGGTACTGCAAGTATATTCAATTGATTATGCAAGTAAGTTGTCCTACTTTACATCTTTGAAGACTAATAATAATTGTAATGAACATATCTCAGACAATATACACTCGGATTTATATTTTAGTTAAACCATCACCACTTCCACAGCCACCTTGTCTCAAGCATTAAATCGCATTCTAAGATATCTTTATTCAAATTAAGTGTGACTACTTTACCAAAAGACTCTAGAATGGACCAATCAAGTAAGATGTCTAAATCTATATCTTTTATATAGAACTCCTTTATTTTTAAATAAACCTGTTAATTTTATGACTTATGAACATATTTAGCAATGTAATCCTTTTAGGATAGACTTTAAAATCAAATTTACAATGTGTTAGTAAATTTTTATTTAAAATAACTTTGTATACATAATATATCTATATAGTTATTTACATAATAGCTAACCCATCAGTACTTGCAAAGTCTCTTTTTCTGTAAGCCCAAAAATTGAGTTCTAAAATACCATTATCCACATAACTACTTTATCAAAGTACAATCTAATGGATTGATCAAGTAATACTTAATTTTTACCTTAAATTGCGTGTTAGTACATATATATAATTTTGATATATAAATTTTAATTATTATGTTTGTTGATTAGTTTTTAAACTTTAAGAAGTGTAAGAATTACAATTTTATTTTTACATGTTTATTTATATTGTAGTGAAACTGTCGGTATCTCCACAATTTTTCAATTAAATAGAAAGTTTCAATTAAACAGGATACTAAGTATGCCTATTGCTCCTCAAGACAATAAATAATGGGAGTTATCAAACTTTATATATATATATATATATATATTATATATATATATATATATATATATATATATATATATATATATATATATAAAGTTTGATAACTCCCATTATTCATTTTTATATATAAAGTTTGATAACTCCCATTATTCATTATTCTTGAGGAGCAGTAGGCTCCTCAAGACAATGAATATATATATATATATATATATATATATATATATATATATATATATATATATATATATATATATATATATATATATATATATATATATATATATATATATATATATATATATATATATATAAAATATCAACCCATAACTACGATAGCTGCAAATTTTTTTAATAAGGTTTTTATTATATAAATGTTATATATTTTACAGAGTTTTAAAGAAAAGTTCTCTGTCAATTGTTACCATAATTACTCAATTTGCACTCTACTATTGTACAATCTTCTATAATCTATAAAACTATGGATTTATAAAGTTGTTAAATGAATAGAATGAAGATGTTTGTTGAATTATTTTTATTATTTTTAGAAAAGAGATTGTATGACTTCGGTATCCGCAATACGGTATCGTGCATTGATTTCCATCTTAGAATGGCTCTCTTCCGTATAGGTGGAAATAGGATAGGTTTTTTTTCTAATTCTTAAGACGAAGAGGCTTAATCGGTTCAAACAAAGATGACGATGATCATTATGGAGCCGATCATGATGACGAATACGATAATGCATATAATAATAAATAAAATGTTTTTACTTGTATCTTAGACTTATATAAATAAAAAATTATTTGTTTAATGTTTGATTTGTTTATGAGTATTTAGATAATGCGTTCAGCGTTTAACTTTTTTTTACGGTGCTTATTTAAAGCAGCTTAAATAAAAGAAAAGTTTGATTCGTTTATCAATATTTTGTATTTATTTATGCTTCTTTAAATAAGCGCCGTAAAATAAAGTTTTACGTCGCGAAGTTTTAATCGAAAGATTTAAATAAAGTTTAAATAGCGTTTAAAACGAACCATTTAGATATGGTTTAAATGGAACATTCGATTGACCTACGTTCTAAATCAAAACTAAATTAAATCTAAACATTTAGAACGAACATTACCCAAACGTTGATTAAATGTTCGAATGCCCGTTGGGTACCTAATACATATATATATATATATATATATATATATATATATATATATATATATATATATATATATATATATACATTAACGGGATTTTACTGAATATATATGTATATATATATATATATATATATATATATATATATATATATATATATACTATATATATATATATATATATATATATATATATATATATATATATATATATACATTAACGGGATTTTACTGTATATATATGTATATATATATATATATATATATATATATATATATATATATATATATATATATATATATATACATATATATAAATATATACTTATATATACAGTAAAATCCCGTTAAGTTGGACTCTCAATGAATAGATAAACAGTATGCCTTTCTTTTTAAAAAGTATAAAGAGGATGTGTGATAAACAATTAAATACTTTATTATAAAGAACGAGAGATCTCTCTAAAGGTAAATGATATCAGAAAGAGTAAAAAGAGAAGAAATATATGTGAAACAGCGGGATGTGAACCTGGGTCTACGCGGCCAAATGTCTTAACTGAATGAGCTATACGTTCATTCAACTAAGAGAATAGTAATATTTATTTAATATATAATTTGAAACTATATAAAACAGAATTTACAGAAAGAGATACGTATGCAAATAGGATTCTATATATCAGGAAAATGAATAGTAATGTGAACCTTTACATGCTTATAATTAATATCTGGACTCAAAAACTAGTTACTTTTAATGGAACACAATAGGCTGTAGGAGCCTCATGGAAATTATATTCAGAAATGGTTATATTAGGCTCAGAGTTAGCTAGAAATTATTACAAAGTATTTAGGACAGATGTCTAGTACAAAAAGCAAAAGGTTTAAAGCAAAATGAATTATATTACTTGAAAAAATTGTTTTACGTACATTTCATCATAATTTAAGAAGAACTTAGTAAAGCAAGGGAAACGTGTTGAATTAAGCACAATGAACTCAATCTTAAAAGAATAACTAACAGAAGAGAGGTTGTCACTATTGTGAAGGCGACGAAAGATCTGTAATATAGAATATGGAGGTCAAAAAATGCTATCTTAAGTAAAAAGAGTTTGATGAACAAAAGTTACAATGGCTTCGGGATGCGAACCCGGATCTCTGCGGCGAATTATCACGTATCTAACTGATTGAACTATACAATCTTATACTCAAATTTATATCTTATTAAAATTAAAAAACAAAATTTTCTATGATCTATACTTTGAAAAGTGTATTCAAACAGGACTCTATATACCTTTAAAATCTGCTAGAATTTTAGTAACGTTTTTTTTTTTAGCATTTCGCAATTTCTTCGCATTTAGAAATTATTGAAATAGGTATATTTTATCAGAAATATGCTTAAGCTAAAGCATATTTTTGAGCCTCTTTTTACTATTTGCTTAAGCATATTCGAACCTGTTTCAAAAATTTCATATGCTTTAAAAAAAAAACATGTATATTCCAACCCATCATTCTTATTTTTAATATACGTAATGAGTTCAAAAAACATCGTTGTATATATTTATTATGGCACGTTTCGTAAGTTTATTTCCGTTAAGAATTCTTTCGTATGTTGTGATCCGAAATACTTTCGTTTCGAAAAAAATTTTATTTTTTATCAATATTTCTAAAAATAAAACCGTAAAAATTTAATAAGTTATTTTACTGAAAATAAAAATTCATTATAAACATTTTGGGATTTAAAGATGTTAATTTTTACAATTAAAATCAGTCTGGCAAACAAATTTTCTTTATAGACTTCAAAACGTCGTTTGGCAAAAATGTTTGTTTCGCAAGTGCGACTTCCGAAACCGCTACTTTTGTATGTTGCAAAATAGTTTTGATTCGTATGTCAACTTGCGAAATGCTAAATTTCCGAAGTGGCTTTTGCGAAATGAACATCGGCGATTTTAAATGTTTTGTAACATTCGGTACGAAAAAATGTAATTCCGTGTTCTCAATCCCCTTACGAAAGAATGTTGTTTTTCCGGAATTGCACGAAATCCTCCGGTTAACAACCCTAGAATAACTTTGTTCAACGTACTAATTAATGAATTTAGCGATAAAATTTAAATGATTTTCAAATTGTTATGGGTGGTGACTTTAACATGATCTTGTCAGATAAAGACAGATATCCAGCACTGTTTAAAAGTGAATGTCCCTCTTTAAAACGCTTTTTAACCTTTTAGAAATTAAAGACACTTGGCGTGTCTTCAATCCTTACAAACAAGTGAATGCAGCCACTAACAACGTTTCCCATCCAAAAAAATGCATTTAAATTGCAATATGAAAAAACTTCACGACGATTTAAAAGTTTAACTAGAAAATATAGAAAAAAAAGCCGAAGGCTTTTTTTTTCTATATTTTCAAGTTAAACTTTTTAATTAAGAGCGATTAAGAGCGAAAATTAAGAGCGTTTTTTTATTAAGTTTTTTTAAGTTTTTTTATTAAATTAAGTTTTTTATTAAATTAAGTTTATTTTTTTAAGTTTTTTTATTAAATTAAGAGCGGCATTAAGAGCGAAAATTTAGTGGAGGTTAGAAGGGGAAAAATGTTCCCATCTTTTTTTCGGTTAGGAAAAACAAAAATTAGCTAAACTATATGTCTCAGAAATAAACGGCAGAGACGGGCAAGATAAAATTGACTCAAAAAAATTTTATAAGGATTTGAACATTTTTATAGAAACTTATACAAATTCAAAGAAAACAACAAACCTTCGCAAGATTTTTTATTCTTAAATGCTCAAGTTAATAAAGTTACTAAAAAAGAAAATAAAATGTTAAAAAAAGAAATTTCTGAAAGCGAGATAAAAAAATCTCTAGAGCAAATGAAAAATAACAAATCACCCGGTTCAGACGGGCTGACCATTGAATTTTATAAACATTTTTTTAATTTGATTAAAAAAGACTTGATTGTAAGTTTAAATAATGTTTTAGTTACAGGCGAAATGACAAACTTGCAAAAAGAAGCTATAATAACTTGTATTTTTAAAAAAGGAAATAAAAACGATATTGCAAACTAAAGACCTATATCTTTAACAAATGTAGATTATAAATTTTTAACAAAAGTTTTAGCCATTAGGCTCAAAGATATTTTACCAAATATAATACATAGCAACCAAACAGCTTGCAATTAAAATTAGAACAATATATTATAATCTAAGTTATACGAGAGACATTACAAGCATTGCTAAAAAAAGCAAGTTAGACGCCTGCATTCTTTCTACAGATCAGGTGATAGCTTTCTATAGGGTTGATAGAGCATATTTGTTTGACAGTTTGAAACATTTTGGATTTGCAAAAAAATTTTTATCTTTTAAAAAAACAATCTTTATATAATAATACTGAACTTAATAGTAGTAGTACCCTTTCGAGCACGTTTGACATAATACCTAACGCAGCCATTACAACCGAGGTACTGGCGAGGAAGAGTCGCAGCACCTTTTTATAAGAAAACATTAACGAAAGTGTGTGCTAATAACTAACTTACGTAAACTTCAAAATGCAAAATGTCAAAACATACTAAAACATGTATCAAGTTTTTAAGTTTTACTTTCACTTGAAAACTGCATTGCGGCAACATCTCCTTAAATTTTGACCGATAGCTGTTTTATAAAGTTTTTCGTTAAGTATATATTTTTAAAAATGTCTCTAATTGGTAAGACGGCGTAGCTTCGTGGTCAGCTTGCTGAGCTACTAATCAGGGGAGCCAGGGTTCAACTCCCGTGCCTGGAACTCTTTTTTTTAATCTTTTTTGATTTTTTTTAAAATACAAAACTAATCACTTTTGAAGATGTATAGAGATTATATACTTAACAAATGTAAAAGTATTTTACACTTAAACAAACAAAAGGAAGAGAATTTTTAAAGAAAGCTTAAAAGTTCTAAAAACGTCAAAAAACAGGAGAAATTTGTTGCGCTTATTTGTCATGTTATTTTAGTTTTACATTTTAAGTTTTCTCCAACTAAGTTGAGATTATGCAAGAAAAATGGGTATATAACATGTATATATAGAATATAAAATCTATAAAACTATAAAGTGCATTTAAAAAAAAAAAGCAAGCTGATGAACTTGCCACGCGGCGACCTAAAATTTTTTTAAAACAGTAAGGGGGTTTTAAAAGTATATTTTTATTAAAAGAATAATTCAAAAATTTAAGTTTAGATTTAAAATAAATTATTTTATTAAATTTATTATTTTTTAAAATGAAAAAAAAGTTGAAACTATCTGATATCAAAGTAATAAAAAATATTTAGAGTTTTACAGCTACTTTACTACGCCCCAGTTAAATATTATTAACCGAGTGCGCAACAATGACAGAATTAAGAAAACCATCAAAATAGTATGATACTCCGTATAATATTGGAAGAGTCAACTCGAACGCTTATAGCTGATCTGAACTGAACTGCACGAGGCATTGTAAAATGTGTACACAAGATTTTTGTATTTCTTGAAATGACATATTATCTTTTATTATTATTGTCATAAATGATATAGTTATTGTTGTCATAAATTGTTGTCATAAATAGTATAATTATTGAATATACTTATATAAATAGTATGTATTTTTTAATCTGTTTTTAAAATTACTGAACTTTAAATTTCTAATGTTTTACATAATGAAACATTCTGTTTTATAGGTGTTGCATTGATTTTTGACAGGCTGATAATTTTATACAAGCTAAAGACGACCATTTTTTAAATATAAGTAAGTTTTTTTTTGTTTTTTTTTATTGGTTTTGAATAATTTTATGTAAAATATTCAATTGTGTTTTATATGAATCTAAGTATTTAGTAAAGTGTTATTGTGTGTATGTGTTAAGTGTTACAAAATATTGTTAGTTAACTAAAATTAAATAACAATATTTTGTTTGGTATTTTAATTTTAGTGCCACAGGTTATAACATATTGTAGGTTTTAATTTCTAATTTTTCTTCATCTTTAAAACTGATTAAGAAAAACATTATTTTTTGCTAATGTGATTGTGTTATTCTATTTTATGAGATATTTTACTAATAATTTGATTGCTCTAAATTATATTTACTTTTTCGATATTTATTTTAGCCAATTAAGTTGTAACAATCTCTGCAAGATTAAAATTAGGTTTTATAATTAAGTATGAAATTAAAATATCGTTTAGCAATTTCAATAAGAATAAGGATGTGGGCCCTTATCAATTGAGATAAGAGCCCACATCCCATAGTGTACATAGAGTGTGGGCCCAGAACAAGAAAAAAAGGTTTCCCCTTATTAAAGAGGAAGAGAATACTCTTATCTAAAGTTGTTGAAAAGATGTACATCCTGTTTCTACACTAAACACCATCAATATTTTAGTCAGCAGAACATGCAAAATATTAAAATAATTTGCTGCTGTGGCCGTGTTTATGATTCTCCGTGTCAGAATAATACTTTATTTTCAGTTTAGATTTTGTGAATACTTTAAATTGCAGTTAATAATTATTATAATAATCAACAATAATCATTGAATTAGGGGGTATCTAATAAGTACTTACAATAAATTTGTGAAAGAACTTCAAAATTGCTTTTTCACTCTGTATGTTTTTAATCGATAAGTCTATTTGTTCATTGATGTGTCCTTATCTGTTATTTTTTTAAATAAGAGGTTCTTATTTTCAATAAAAAGAAATATTCTTTTATTGTTGTTGTTTGTTTGTTTGTTTTTATAATTTTACCTTTTCTCATAATGGTAGAGTTATTTTTCATGTTTAACTGCATTTTAATTTAGTTGAATTTTATTTTTTTCTTTAGTTTTACTTTAGTGCTCTACCAACAATCATAAATTTACTTTATCTACAATAAAATATGGTTTTAACTTAAAGTAAACTTTTGTCATTTAAACTTTACTATGTTGATCATTACCTAATAGTGTAAAAAAAAAATTAGTACGTCGCAATCAAGGTTAGAATAATTTTTTTTTCTATTCTGTTGCTGTTTGTTTACAAACATTAAATACTTTTTAGTTTTCAGGTTTTTTAGTTTTTCTATACATTGCAAATTAGTTTCTATGTTATTGTTAATAAATTTCTTTATTCTATTTAGAAACATTAGAAAAATCAAATGTTAAGCAAAGTGCCATTATAATACATTTCTGTTTTATTATGTCAGTTAAAAAATTTATTTATTTTTTTAATTTTTTTTTTTTTTTTGCTTTCACAGGATCAGTGTCAAGTAATGTGTTTTGCATACTTATGTATTTTTTGGGTGTTCTGTGTATTAAAACTGAAACATATCATCTTTATATAATAATACGGAACTCAATAGTAGTAGTTCCCTTTCGAGCACGTTTGACACAAAACCCAACGCAGCCATTGCAACCGAGGTACTGGCGAGGAAGAGTCGCAGCACCTTTTTATAAGAAAACATTAACGAAAGTGTGTGCTAATAACTAACTTACGTAAACTTCAAAATGTGAAATGTCAAAACATACTAAAACATGTATCAAGTTTTTAAGTTTTACTTTCACTTGAAAACTGCATTGCGGCAACATCTTAATTTTGATCGATGGTCGTTTTATAAAAACTTTTATTTACTATATATTTTTAAAATTTGTTCAATCGTTCATAGTGGCATAGCTTAGTGGTCAGCTCGCTGGCAGCTGACCTGAAGAGCCATGGTTCGAATCCTACCTATGGCATGTTTTCTTTTTAAATTCATTTTCGATTTTTCTAAAGTACGAAATAAAGATTATGTATAGAGATTATATACTTAACAAATGTAAAAATATTTTACACTTAAACAAACGAAAGGAAGAGAATTTTTAAAGAAAGCTTAAAAGTTCTAAAAACATCAAAAAACAGGAGAAATTTGTTGCGCTTAATTGTCATGTTATTTTAGTTTTACATTTACATTTCTCCAACTAAGTTGAGTTCGCGCAAGGAAAATGAGTATATAACATGTGTATATATATAATATAAAATCTATAAAGTGCATTTAACAAAAAAAGCAAGCTAATGATTTGAACTTGCCACGCGGCGACCTGAATATTTAAAACAGTAAGGGGGTTTTAAAAATGTATTTTTATTAAAAAATATTTAAAATTTTTAAATTTAAGATAAATTATCTTATGAAATTTATTATTTTTTAAAATGAAAAAAAAGTTAAAACTATCGATATTTAGGTAATAAAAATATTTAGAGTTTTACAGCTAATTTACAACGCCCCTGTTAAATATTCTATACCGAGTGCGCAACAATGACAGAATTTAGAAAACCATCAAAATAGTATGATTCTCCGTATGTGATTGGAAGAGTCAACTTGAACACTTTAAACTGATCTGAACAAACTGCACGAGGCATTGCAAATGTTTACTCGGTAAGATTTTTGTATTTCTTGAAATGACATTGTATCTTCTATTATTGTTGTCATAAATGATATAATTATTGAATATACTTAAAAAAATAGCATGTATTTTTGCATCTGTTTTTAAAATTACGGAACTTTAAATTTCTAATGTTTTACTTAATGGAACATTCTGTTTTATAGGTGTTGTATTGATTCTTGACTGGCTGTTAACTTTATACAAGCTAAAGACGACCTTATTTTGAATAAAAGTAAGTTTTTTTTTTATAATTAGTTTTATGTAATTTTATGTAAAATATTCAATCGTGTTTTATATGTATCTAAGTATTTAGTAAAGGAATATTTGCCAGTGTGACCGAGCGGACGACATTCTGAAATATCTATCGAGGTTTGAGTCCAATCGTTAGAACCTTCTCTTTTTTTTTTAAATTTTTTATTGGTTTTTTTAAAAATTCAAAAATAGAACACAATAAAAAGAGAACTATGAAATTGTTTTGTTTTGCTTTTTAATAATTAAAGCTTTCCGCGACAAACTTTTTTTGAACACAGTCAGGGGGATAAAATAAGTTGTTTCTATTAAGAATATGAGTAAAAAATTTATTTTATATTTAAAATAAATCATTTTTTCCAACTTGGTTATTTTTAAAAATGATATAAAGTTAAAATAACCTAATCTTAAGATAATAAAAAAGTTTAAAGTTTCATATCTGCCCCCGGTAAACATTTTAAACCAAGTGCTCAACAATGACAATTCAGATAACTATCGAAATAGTATTATACTGTGTTTATAGTTTTGAAAGAGTCAGACCGCTATTAACTGGTTATGCACAAGGCATTTTAGATTTGCAAGCGGTAAGTTTTGTATTTCTTGAGATATCTTAGATTCTATTATCATATAAATGATATAATTGTTAAGTATGCTTTTATTTATATGTAGTGTGTATTTGTTAATTTGTTTTTGAAGTTGCTAAAGATTTTAATGCTTTACTTAATGAAACAGTCTGTTTAGTAGGGGATGAATCTTGACAGGCTGTTAATTTTATAGAAGCTAATGTTGACCTTATTTTAAATATAAGTAAGTTGTTTTTTATTATTATTGGTTTTAAATAGTGTTAGATATTCAATCGTATTTTTTATGAATCTAATAATTTAGTAGAGTGTTATTGTCTGGAGGTGTTTGATATTCAGGTAAGATTTTATTAAGTTAATTTATTTTAAAAGAATCTTTTAAAATTTACTTATTAAAAATTTTACATTTGCGTTTTTTTCAATTCCAAATTTTGTTTCTATTTTTTAAATATTAAGTAAATTTTTGGTGAAAGATTCTGTTTCTGCATTAAACACTATCAAAATTTTAGTCAGTAGAACATGCAAAATATTGAAATGATTTGCTGCTGTGACTGTGTTTATGATTATCCACGGCAAGATGGTATTTTATTGTCAGTTAAGATTTTGTGAATACTTTAAACTGCAGTTAATCTTTTTTATGTATTATAAATTATTTTGTATTACAAACTTTTTAAATTTTGTTATTTTATTTCTTTAGTTCTACTTTGGTACTTTAGCAACTATCATAAGTTTACTTGGTCTACTGTTAAATATGGTTTTAACTAAGTAAATTTTAATTATTTAAAATTTACTTTGTTGATCATTAGCTAATAGTTTATAAAGAATTTAGTCTGTTGCCATCAAGGTAAAAATAATTTTGTGTTTCAGTCAAATTACAAAATTTGTTTGCACTTATAGCTTTTATGTTTCGTTATTTTGTTTAATTGACTTTTTCATTAATTTTGTTATTAATTCCTTTTCATTTCAAATTTTGCCCGTTTTTAAAAATGCTATATAAAAATAGCAGCAGGCAAATTGGTTTGTAGTATTATTATATAAAGATTATTATATAAAGATGTTTTTAATTCTATCATATGATAATTTTTCATCGTAGATATATCTTACGATGCTTTTTCAGCATATTGCAGTTCGCGAGGCACATAAGTTGTGGGCCCGAATTTAGAGCAAAAGCTCGCTCTCCTCCGCCATTTTTTTTTCTTTTTCTTTCTTAATAAGGATCCTGTAAAAAATAAAATATGAGAAGGATCCTTAGTATGGATCCTGTAAAAAATAAAATATGAGAAGATAGCGGTGGGAAAATATTGCGCTATATCTTTAATTAGTATTTTTGTAGTTAGTTAATAATGCAGATGTAGTTGAATTTTTTTTTGTAAATAAAACTTTTATATATTTTGTTTCGTTATCATGTATAAATAAATTGATTTACAGTGGTGTTATTATTTCTTTTTTGAAAAAAACTTATTAGTTTGTGACATAGAATTGACTTGGTCGTTAAGTAGAATGCCAAGAATATATATGACGGTTATTGTTGATAAGGGTGATTAATAGGCAAGTAAATTATAAACTAACTTTATATTGATTTTATTTGTAGACCTAATAAATAGGAAGATAACATAATTCAGGTAATTATTGTTTTCAGTTTTTCTCCTAATAGTTAATTAAAGTTTGATATCTTATATTAAAAAAATATGACCATTCGAGTAATTATGACGGTAATGTATATATTTAACATGTAAACTTCATGTTCTGTAATTAGTAATCAGTATTTTTATAAAGTAGATAATATAAATTTTTACAGATTTACTTTAACTTGAAAATTTCATCTCCTTATTTTATAGCATTTCATCTCCTTATTTTATAATTTCATCTCCTTATTTTATATGCCGTTTTATAAAGTTTAATAAGTCTTCTGTTTATGAAACAGTGTTAAAAGATAATACAGCATGCCAAAGTGGTTGAAATGCTTCGCTTGGGTTAAAATCCTTTCGCTTACACTCATAATTTTTTTAAATATTTTCCAAATTTCTAGAAAACAAAGTAAAACATTTTTAAAGGCCTATAGATATTATATGCATTACATTACATATATATAAAGATATTATATATTATAACAAACTAAAGGGAGAGAACTTTTTAAAACGCTGTGTAAAATTTCTAAAAACCTGAGAACACTGTTTGAAATTTGTTGCGCATATGTCATGGTAGAGATACTTTAGTTTTGGATAAGTTAGTTTAGTCTGCGCATTTAAGAGACAACTTTTTCTCTAATAGAAAAAAAGTTTTACATGCAAACTGAAATTTTCTTGAAAATTAACTGGGCAAGAGTCCTAACAAGTATCGGATGGTATGAAAAAAAAATTATAGTCTGAAACTTAATAAAAAAAAACTTAACACAAACAGAAAACCCAAAAATGCTAAAATTACGTCATAACTTTAGTTCCGCCAAATCCGGTAATAGGAATGCTCAAATATAAAATAGAAATATTAAATGATTTTTGTATTTCGATATATGCGCCAACTCTTAAAAGACTGTAAAACTACCTTGCGGTTATCTAATTAAATCCACCAAATCCGATAATAAAAACAGCTCAATTAATAGATTTAAAAATCATCTGATTTTTGCATTATGATATGTGCGCCAACTGTACTCTAAAACCACTAAAACTTGGCCATGCTTTCTCTCATTCAAATCGATTATACAACAAGGAACTGCAAACTAAAATACAGCAAAGAACTACAAGTAAGTTTCATCTCTATCGTTTACAAGTTTACTTATTTTAATCATCCATTTAAAAAATTAATCTTAATTCGGAACTAATAAAGTTATTATGCTTTTGACACAAGAATAAACATTAAGATTATATTTTAGAAATGAGCAGCCAAAATACAGAAGGTTAGAGTATTCTTTTTATTTTATATAAAATTAATGAATTAAAGAGATAGAAAGAGATGATACGAAAATAATGTTGAAATATTTAGTTTATTATTTTATCAAGAGATTATATATAGATAAATTTGTATGTCTTTAGGCGACGAAGAAGTTTCAGAATTTTTTAGAAGTAAGCCACAATATAATTATACTATATACTACGTATAGTTGCAGTCATGGCTCCCCACAAAGGGAGGTGCAGTTGGTACTCTAGCACTAGGATCCGGAGATAAATGGGGTTCGGCTTTAAATCTTTAAAATTTTCAGTCTCATTAAGTTGAAAAATCAAATTGAAAAATTGACAATTTGATTTTTAACTTTTCAATAACATTTAAACATCTAAAAACCTAATCTTTTTTAAAAGCAAAAAACTTTAAATAAATACAAAAATGATTTAGATTGTGAAAGCAAAAGCGGTTTCTTAAATAAAAAACTTTATAAGTTTATTGTGGCCAAAGAAAAAAAAAATTTTTATTGTATGCAATGCAATAAGGGTATGTGTGTGTGTGTGGGTTGGGGGGGGGGGCCGCAGAGAGCTCTAGCATGGGGTCCGGTTTCAAGATGTGGGGGCCATGGTTGCAGTTGCATATGTTCTAAAATTTAATTAAATAAAAAATATTTAAAATAATTTTTGGACTTTACAAGGATGCACCCGAAATTTAGTTATT